AGAATAGAATAGAATAGAATTCTTTATTGGCCAAGTGTGGTTGGACATACAAGGAATTTGTCTTAGTGCAAATGCTCTCAGTGGACATCAAAGAAAAGATACATTCATCAAGAGTCAAGAATCATCAGGTACAACACTTAATGATAGTCATAGGGTACAATAAGCAATCAAATCATACTAGGAAACAGTCAATAAAAATTGTTAGGATACAAGCGACAAAGTTACAGTCATACAGTCACAAATGGGAGCGGATGGGCGATAAGGAGTTATGAGAAGATTAGCAGTAAGAGTAGTGCAGACTTTGTAAATAATATCACTTTAACAGGCCTCGGTAAGGCCACACTTGGAATACCGCATCCAGTGCTGGTTGCCACAATGTAAAAAAGGATGTTGAGACTCTAGAAAGAGTGCAGAGAAGAGCAACCAAGATGATTAGGGGACTGGAAGATAAAACATATAAAGAACGGTTACTGGAATTGGGTATGTCTAGTCTAGTGAAAAGAAGGACTAGGGAAGACATGATAACAGTCTTCCAGTATTTGAGGGGCTGCCCCAAAGAAGAGGGAGTCAAGCTATTCTCCAAAGCACCTAAAGACAGGACAAGAAGCAACGGATGGAAACTAATCAAGGAGAGAAGCAACCTAGAACTAAGGAGGAATTTCCTGACTGTTCGAACATTTAATCAGTGGAACAACTCGCATCCAGAAGTTGTGACTGCTCCAACACTGGAAGTTTTGAAAAAGAGATTGGATAACCGTTTGTCTGAAGTAGTGTAGCATTTCCTGCCTAGGCAGGGGGTTGGACTAGAAGACCTCCAAGGTCCCAACTCTGCTATTCTATTCTAAAATCTTATACTAAATCAAGGCAGGGTCATTTTTTTTAAAAAAAAAAGGTTTTTTTTATTGATTTTAATTTTAAAATTTTAAAGGGTCATTTTTGTCTCCTTTCTCACAATTCTTTCAATTTCTGGACTCTGTAACCTCTTTTCCATTTCCTTCCTCAATTGCTCTTTCATATCTTCTCCAAGGTCATCTCTAAATTCCTTTACATTAGATAATATAGGGTGGTTCCCGCGTCTTCCTACTTCTGCTTTAACGCTCTCTTGGAAAGTTACTCCAACCTTGGAAGAAACAACTTTAGTTTTATTGTTTTGGGGGGAGAAAAGATTCTTTTGCTTGAACGTCACTTTCAAAGTGTCAGTTTTTGTCTTGCAGAATTTGTTTGTAACACTTTTCTTAATCCATTCACTTTGCTTCCTCGTGACAAGATGCGAGAATTGCTAACTAAGGCACTCGAGACGAGGGTTCTGACAATAAGTTGCTGAAGAAATTTTTATTAATATAGCTAATGTTATCTCCGCAGATATTTTCACGTCTGTAGCCTTTCTGCTTCTGAAATACTGTACCTGTTACTCTAGGGTTGCGAGCTGGTGGGAAGATACTTTTGTAACTTTTGGTACAAGGCTTAGGATCTTTTAGTTATGGTTTTTGTTAAAAAAAAAAAATAAACATGCATTTAGGACGTTGGAAACCTTGTATTTAATGAGATGGCCTTTGGCACTGATTTTACCATTGGAAAGTTTAGTGATTCTTTGAGAAGCACGGATCTGCTTGAATTCTTTTCTTATTTAATCTTAATTTAATCTTTTCTTGTTGCTTTACTTCTGAGATTAGCCTGTAGGTTTTTAACTGTTGCTTGGTCCAGTTACTCCTGCACAATTCATAATTTGTGACACCAGTTTTTACGAAAAATAGCACAATAGTCTCTTCTTAAAACCCTTTGAAATACTATTGTTCTTCTCATCCTTCCTATTACCTATCTCTTCCAACTTATGACTATAACCATGTTACTTGTATCTTTGCAAATTATATTTTTTTATTGTTCCCTAGTATGATTTGATTGCTTATTAGTATCCTATGATTATCATTAAGTGTTGAATCTTTATGATGCTTGATGAATGTATTTTTTTATTTTTATGTACACTGAGAGCATTTGCACCAAAGACAAATTCCTTGTGTGTCCAATCACACTTGTCCAATAAAGAATTGAATTCTATTCTATTCTGTTCTATTCTATTCTGTTCTATTCTATTCTATTCCATTCCATTCCATTCCATTCCATTCTTATTCTACCCTATAGCTATCATTAAGTGTTGTACCTGATGATTCTTGACTCTTGACGAATGTATCTTTTCTTTTATGTACACTGAGAGCATTTGCACCAAGACAAATTCCTTGTGTGTCTAATCACACTTGGCCAAGAAAGAATTCTATTCTATTCTATTCTATTCTATTCTATTCTATTCAAAGCCTTTAGTGATGGCCTCTGACTGGCCCCGCCAAACCCATCTCTTCTCTGCCTCCCATTGAGTCCCAGCTGATCGGCTGGCTTTTTGGTTGCCCTGCACAAGAGAACGGAGCTGGAAAGCATGTTAGTGGAGTGGGGAGCGAAGGGGGATTTTGCAGTATCTTTCCCCTGCCCCACCAAGCCACACCATGCCCACCAAGCCACGCCCACAGAACCAGTAGTAAAAAACATTTGAATCCCACCACTGTATTCCACCCATTTCTGTGTTCCCAAAGGCATCTTGACTCTGGGCCAAAGACAGGCCCTCCGTTTGCACAATCGCCAGTGAATAAACAGTTCCTTCTTTTTTTCCTTTTTGGCAATGCCAATCTGTTGTTTGACAGAACATATCCCTGTCCCCAGAAAGCAAGCCGTTGGGCTGAGCCAGCTATTGCAGCCATGCCTGGCAGAGCCCATCTTAATCTCAAAACAAAACGCCTTGAATTTGCTGGCTTCACACAACGACGGCGTGTTGATTGATGTGTTGCCACCTTGTATCGCCATGCGTCCCTTTTTTTTAACTCTCTAACTTTTTAAATCCTGACGTTGTTAAGTCCTTGTTGCCTCCAGAGCTGCTTGGTGGTGAGTAATTCCCCTCGGGGAGTTTTTCCCATTTCTAGAAAGACCACTTGAATCTTAATTTATATATATGGATTTTATTATATGAAAAAACATCATCAAAAAGCACATCAAAGAATGTTCTTTCTACGCCAACTCAGGAATCTCAAACTGCCCAAGGAGCTGCTCATACAATTCTACAGAGGAATTATTGAGTCTGTCATCTGCATCTCTATAATTGTCTGGTTTGGTTCTGCAACCCAACAGGACAGACACAGACTCCAGAGGATAATTAGGACTGCAGAAAAAACAATTACTACCAACCTGCCTTCCATCGAGGACCTGTATCCTGCACAAGTCAAAAAGAGGGCTGTGAAAATATCTACAGACCCCTCACATCCTGGACATAAACTGTTTCAACTCCTTCCCTCAAAATGACGCTAAAGAGCGCTGCACACCAGAACAACTAGACACAAGGACAGTTTTTTCCCCAACGCCATAATTCTGCTAAACAAATAATTCCCTCAACACTTTACAAAGTCTGCATTACTATTACTCATCACTCCTCATTACCTCTCCCCTCCCACTTGTGACTGTATGACTGTAACTTTGTCGCTTGTATCCTTACGATTTATATGGACTGTTTCCTAGTGTGATTTGATTGCTTATTGTACCCTATGACTATGATTAAGTGTTTTACCTGATGATTCTTGACTCTTGATGAATGTATTTTTTTTATTTTATGTATACTGAGAGCATTTACACCAAGACTGGTGTGTCCAATCCCACTTGGTCAATAAAGTATTCTAAATATATATGGATTATCTTGGAGTTGTATCTTTGTTTGTCAAAGGAGGTGGCAGCTGGAGTTTTGTTTTCTTGAACTGGGCGTGGCAATGTGGGACAGGCTGATTTGTTCTGCCGGTGTGCGTAGGTTTTGTAACACATAACGGAATAATTCCCGAGCCTTGTAAGGAAAGTCTCGGTGACACACAACGCGGCTAGATCAGGGGTCTCTAACTTTGGCAACTTTAGGATTTTGTGGACTTCCAACTCCCAGAATTCCCCAGCCAGCATAGCTGAAGGCTTCACAAAGAACAGCTGGCTGGGGAATTCTGAGAGTTGGAAGTCTTCAGGTTGCCAAGGGTGGACACCTGACAAAAAGAGAGAGGGAGAGGGAGAGGGAGAGAGAGAAAGAAAACGAAAGAAAGAAAGAAAAAGAAAAAAGAAAGAAAGAAAGAAAGAGAAGGAAAGGAAAGGAAGGAAGGAAGGAA